ACGGGCAAGCGTGGTGTAATTTATATTAAATAGGACGGGCAAGGATTCATTTGCATACGGGTTCAGTGCTATGAAAGCCATGTGAAAATGCGCCTTAAAATTCCCCTGAGCCAAACCTATCTCCGTTAATATGCGTTTTGAATCTTTCTAAGTTGGTCTATGACGAAAAAATTTTTTCGGTCAGCCAAAAATTTATTCGACTCCGAAATCCGGGCAACGGGCAAGCGTAGTGTAATTTATATTAATGGACGGGCAAGCGTAGTGTAATTTATAGTAATCGAGACGGGCAAGGAATCATTTGCATACGGCTCAGTGCTATGATAGCCATGTGAAAATGTGCTTTAAAATTCCCCTGAGCCAAACCTATTTCCGTTAATATGCGTTTTGAACCTTTCTGAGTCGGTCTATGACGAAACAATTTTTTTCGATCAGCCAAAAATTTTCTAAGTGACAAGCCTAGCTTTATTTGACTCCGAAATCCGGGCAACGGGCAAGCGTAGTGTAATTTATAGTAATCGAGACGGGCAAGGAATCATTTGCATACGGCTCAGTGCTATGATAGCCATGTGAAAATGTGCTTTAAAATTCCCCTGAGCCAAACCTATCTCCGTTAATATGCGTTTTGAATCTTTCTAAGTTGGTCTATGACGAAAAAATTTTTTCGGTCAGCCAAAAATTTATTCGACTCCGAAGTCCCGGCAACGGGGGTATTCTCCCCCAGAAAATATTTTGTATTTTTCCACCCCTAAAACTGAAATATGAGCATTTTCTGAAACAGATTTTTAAATATACTGGGTTACATTGTGCGTTGATAGACCGAATCTGATCAGTTAAGTGTACTTGCATGGTATGTTTATGTAAATACCGCAACTGGGTCACTCAGTGGGTAGAAAGCTTGTTACACTTAGTGGGCCCGACTCCCACGATCGCGAGACGCTACCATGGTTGGCGCCGAGCAGGGAAATTTTGAAAATTTTGAGTCTCTTGATCGTTAAATAGCATTTTCAGAGTCTTGTTTTTTGCTATTTGTGATTATAGAAATCAGAACTCTAGACATGGTATTCAAGTTCAAAAACTTTTATGACCCCCCCCCCCTTTCTCTGTGTTAAAACATTTTTAACCCCCTCCCCCCCTATTTATAAGGGTAAAACTTCGTTTGCCCCCCTCTCATTTCCCAACCCCCCCTCCCGATAAATAATGACCACTCCCTAAGGGAAATTTTGCCGAGTTACTTCAACCACTGTGCTTCAACCCACTATTGCGCAAATTACAGATAACGCACTAACGCACATTCTAAAACAGGGGAATGATGCTGAATGATACTAAATGATGGGGTATGATGCTGAAGGATACTGAATGATGTTGAACGATGGTGAATGATACTGAAGGATAGGGAATGATGCTGAATGATACTGAATGATAGGGTATGAAGCTGAAGGATACTAAATGATGCTGAATGATACTGAATGATGTTGAACGATGGTGAATGATACTGAAGGATGGGGAATGATGCTGAATGATACTGAATAATGCATAGTGATGCTAAATGATGTTCAGTGATCATGAATGATGGATAATGATCAGTAATGATATATAAAGAGGTATATGAAAGGTTATAAAATGTGTATTATGGTATTTATCCAGAGCTCGACCAGGATACAAGAACCTGGGTGTACGACTATCCGTGGACTATCCGTGGACTATCCGTGGACTATCCGACCACGGCTACCCTTGTTCAAAATGGTTCGTGTTCTTATGTGCCACAATTTTAAAGAACAGAAAGTATTTTCTGATGCTTATGAACCCAGTGCACAGGCGTATTCTGCCTCAAAAGATTTGGTATTTATCTGCACAGCAAAGGCTCATGTGTTTGTTTACTCGCTTTCAGAGGATGGTTTTCCATTACTCTATCAATTTCCTCTGATATCTACAGCGACTGATATGATTTTTAACGACACTGGAGATTTTATATTCACCAAAGAAATCACAAGAAAAGACAAGGCTAATCATTTTGCAGCTAGAGTTTATTTCAATTGGTCAAAGTGGCGGCAGGAGTTTGCAAACCATAAAAGAAAAGTTCTTCAACTTGGCTTTTCATTTACCCAAAGTTTTTCTTTGGAGCCAAATGCTTTGACTGCATTAGAAGTACAGTCGAGGTTCTCAGTTCGTAGTATTTCCTGTTGTCCTGTGAGTACAAATATAGGAGTTGCCACTGAAACAACAGTTTCTGTTTACAGACAATGTGTTGAGTGCCCTTTTGATTTTCAAAGGCAATACATTGTTGAACCTGGATTTTCCATATATAGACTTGTTCTGTGTGAACAATTTATTGCATTCACTTCGACTAGTGAAGTACGAGTGTTACAAGTAACAACGAATGGTGATATACCATCACTTCTGGAAGAGAGAAATGATAGGTAAGTTGGTTTGATGGCTTGCTCAAACATGGTATTTATCATGTGCCCAACCTGATTTAAAATCATTTGCATTTTTAGCACATGAAAAGTTAAATGTTTGAAACAGGCCTTAGGTTGATTGCAATATAACAAATTTATGCAACAATCAGAATAAGCAATTAGAATAATTAGAACATTGCATAGAATAATAATGTAGAATAATTATGTACATGTAGAATAATTAGAATGTTTTATATAGAATAATTAGTTCATGCATTGATGTATTCTAACCAGAAGACCCCACCAGCTTTGCTTAAATAAAGATTTATTATTACTATAATACACCCTTCCAGAAAGTATGTCACTTTGGCTATTGAGCCTCATTGTCATGATTGAGATGTTTGGATTTAACTAAATTGTCACATGTCGCTCTGTCACATGTCACTCTGTAGTCTCTGTCACATGTCGCTCTGTCACATGTCGCTCTGTAGTTAAATTGTCACATGTCGCTCTGTAGAAGCAGACCTGCCAACCTTAATAGCAACTGATATATAGGGAGAATTGTTATTTGTGGGAGAATTGGCTGTTTAGAGGGAGAAAACCCATCAAAGCCCTTTTCATTAGAGCAGCCAGGGCTCGTTCAAACTCCTAGCTACACTCACAGCACAAGAAGCCCCTTGACTAATGTTAAATTGGGCACTATCTTGGACTGAAAATACAATATGAAGACATGTTTTAACAAATAAATACTTCAATTTTGACTTTCTGAATGTTGTAGAATCTAAATTGAAGTCATTACAATAAATGGATGAAACGAAATGCTGCCGCACATAGATATTTCTCTATAAAATTCCATAAGATTGACAAGAAATCAGGATAATTGCTAGTTGCCAATACCGGGAGAAATTTTTCACTACCGGGAGATCACAGATCTGAGAGTTGGCAGGTCTGTAGAAGGGTGTATTAAAACATTGTATGTACCATAAAAATGCTTAATCAATGTTTCATTAAATGGGTAAGTACCTTTTATTTATTTTAGTGGAGAACCAGAGCAGCTTCTGTCCCAAGGAATCCCCTCACCCAGTGGTTGTCAAAGAGAGGTATTTGATGAGAACTATGTTGTGTGGTCTTTTGATCGCTATCAAGAAACGTCAGCAGACCAATCTGCTTTTTGGGAATCAATCTTGGGAAGCAAGGAGTGGAGTGAAGATGAGCAAGATTTAAAACCAACGGTGGTTGATCTTCCTTCTTTGAAAGAAGAGGTTCCATTTATAGATCATTCGCAAGATGCTTGTGAGATCTTGGGTCCAGTCAAAATGGTGCATGGTCATCCCATCAAAGTACAGACTGCAACAACGAATGTCCAAAGTGTTACCATGTTGTATCGATATTTTGATGTGATGAGAAATGGCGGTGATTCTGTTACAGAACTTCACTCTTTACAATTGCTACCTTTCTATACCAGTGGTAGGTTTCATGCGAGCCTTATTGAAGCACCCACCATAAATCAGCACTGACTGACTCTCTTATTCTTTCAATAATTTCTTAATTTTGTTTGCAGACATTCAATCATCTACAGCAAATTTTTTCTTATTTTTTTCCAGTTTTTGATGCAAATGAGAAGCCAACTCCTCAACTATCTGGAATGATATGTTTTGTGTCGACCTCCAAACAAGGTTTCATATACAATGTTTTTAGAAAAACAGAATTCCTTGCACATTGTACATATACATCTGAAACAACTACTGCCACCATTTGTAATAATCTGTTGTATTCAGTCACCAATCAAGCACTCGAAACATATGTTGTCCCTATATACGCTGCAGTTGCAAAACACATCAGAACAATGCGACCATCAGATGTTGAAGATACACTATATATAGACCAGGCTATGGTGCAAAGTAATGACAAGACAGAAGTGCACAGTGATGTTCTGTCAAATGCTGATGGCATTTCCACCCACAATGAAGAGTCTTCTCAAGAAAATAAATTTACTCATTTTGGGTTTCCAGTTTATGATTTAGAAATTTTGCAAAAGGTAACTAACCAAGAAATAGCAAGGATGTATTATCATGTCTTTGAGTGAATGAATATTTCTAGCATTCAGTTCTGCTAGCCAGCTACCTTGCAGGGAAGGAATGTAGGGATTTGAGATTTAAGTTTAATTTACATTTTGATCGCTTTAGTGATTGCATAGTCTGCTCCATGAGAACTTTGATGACTGAGGCTAAAGCCTGTTTTCCACAAGACGAATTGTTTGTGTGAATTAGTGCAACTTTTTCCTCTGTTGGTAAATCCATAGACAACCAAGAAGAGTTCTCTTGTTTGGAGTATGGTATAACTTGTTGATGCACGAATAAATTCATCTTGTAAAGAATGTGCTTTTAGTAGCTCCCATCAACACAGTTCAAATTAAGACACTACTGATGAATTTGCAGAACCCAGTTCTCTTCCTCATTACTATGGCACTAGTGACAAGCTGATTCTTACTAAGCTGTTCCTCCCATTTCATTTAGCCATGCCCTTCACCTTCCGTGGATCTTTATATGATTGGAGTTCATCAGTTCTCAGGCCTCTTCTCCATGCTAGCGTTTGGTTCAAGGATATTGCTGTTATCCCATACAACCACGAATCTATCTCCGAAAAGGCATAGGTAACTTTCACACATGACAGGTAATTTGCTATATGCTGTAAGTTGCAAATTCTCTGCCATAAATTGTGTACAATGAACTTTACTACTTATTGCACTTTTGCTCAAATGGCCTCGTTTTCATGTTTGCTTGTTTTATCATGGCAGGTGAACGTTAGTTATATCACTATGTTTTGTGCAGGCAGTGGCAGAGGGAGGAGGGGGGGGAGAAGCCTCCTAAATTTCAAAAAAAATCTTCAAATTTGTGACAACACCACCCAAGGTTGTTTTTAGCCCTCTTTTAATTTAGGTCAAAATTTCCACTACTGCGTGCAGGAATATGTTTCTCTCTGGTCTTGACCTTACCGCGCATGAAACATGAGAAAAACCCCACATGAAAACGAGGCCATTGGAGAAAGTGCAACAAAATAAATTGTACAAAATAGTGTGTACAAAACAGTTTAATAAATGAAGATCTGTTTTTGACAGTAAGAAGACAAAGAGTGTTTTAATCAAAGATTGGACTTTACATGTTCTTAAAGCAATGGATATGGGTGACCTATATCGTAAAATGGTATTGACAAGCCACTATTAAGATATGTACAGTCAGTGTTTCTTGTGCAGTACTTCATTCCTTTATTTTGTTCTAGGAAAGTGTCATTGAAAAATCAGAATCTCTGACAGCAGACCCGAGATTGCTAAAAGAGCAACATTTCATATTAAGAGCTCAATTTCAAGTTGGTGGTCTTTCTAAAACAGAACGACAATCTTTATTGTTGTGTCTGAGGAACTCTGTGAAAGATATTGGTCACTATTATGCAAGGTCAGTGTCATACTAGTTTGCCACCCTCTCAAAAAAGCCCTCCTCTCTATTCAGCCCCCTCCCCAACCATTCTAGAGCTTTGTCGTGTTAAAGTCTCTATTGGGAAATCTTTGGTCACTAGTATGCAAGATACCTGTGAATCCACGACGTCATTAAGCGCCCCTTTGTAGAGCAAGATATTTATTGAAAATATACATCTACAATGAGTAATGACTGAACAGTGAACTCAGCCATGGACATTTCACATTATGTTACCATAGTGTGTTTCCTGTAAATCAAAGGCTCCGTCTCTATTAAGCCGACTTCTCAACACCCCCACCCTGTCTGGATCAGAGTAGTAAATGTTTCTTGTCCATCACGCACACGAGCAAGTTGAAAAGGTTTTTTCTTTTGAAGCTGGCTAACCTTTTGTCGTAAACACAGAAGGAAAAAAAGCCGTCTTGTCAAGGAAATATGAATTGTTCGTCTGTACTAGGTGGCTTCAATTTTGTTCCAGGTATGCAGTTATTGATGTGCATGATGTTCATTTATATTACACTATGGCAAATCTTTCCATGGAAGAAATACTTGATGAGCACGTTCAGTCTCCTGTTCACATTGAGAAGGTGCAAATATTTATTGCTTTAAGTAAAGTTAGGATGTGTTCATTATTCTGTATTGCAAGGGATGCAGGTGAAACGTCTATATTTGATTTGTGTGTTTTTAACTTTAGTTAAAAGAAAGGACATTTGGAAACGGCTTGTTGTGTTATCTTAATAATGTGTTCTTCAAAAAGAGTCAAGATAAAATGTGCATTGTTTTACCTCAGGTAGGGAGTACAAACTGGATTGATTGACTACGGATTGCAGGATTAATTTAGCATATATATACAGTGTGTTAAAAATGAATTCATTGCATGTTAAAATAATACGGTTATCTTTCATTATCTTGTATTTTGAAAGAGATTTGACCGTGAAATAGTGACAATATCGTCTTAACTTAGCTCTTAATAATGGGGATTTTCCTTCTAGGTAATGCCAATGAACTACAGTAAAACCATTTTCTCTGAAAAAAGTTCAACGTGTTTCGGTTTTGTGGATTTTGATTGCCAGTAGTCTTAGACTCCCAAAGGAGACTTTAGAAGTCTGAGACTGGTAGATTGTTAGCAGTATTGTTAGTAGTATATTTAGTAGTATGTGCACTGCATGTCCACAATGGCCCAGGTTGTTAGTAAGTCGTCAAATATCGTTATTCCAAACCGTATTAACTAGTTTTATGTCGTTTTCTTTAGACAACTGCAGATAAAGTGCTGTATATTTACAGCAATGCAGAACCTTCACGGCTGTCAACTCTTATTCTCAGGCCTCTTATTGAAGGATTCACAGCAGAGTTAGCTATTAAACTTTTGAGGAAATTAAAGAAGATAAAAACATATAGGTCGGTTGATAGTAAACGTATACTGGTAGATGAGTAGTAAAATCGTGGAATCACAACATTCGTGTTAGTAGAACCACATTCCGATGATGTGCGAACTTTTGAGTTTTGAAGATAATACAACTACGTGAAAAAACATCTTTGATGTTTCGAGAGAAGGTCCTACGTCTAATATACTCTGGTTTTTTCGCTGTTTGGAATGGCCCAAATATAATAAATACCTTATTCATGTATTTAGAGTTGGTGTCATTTTTAGGCTCTTTTGTAACCTATTGGTGATTTCCTTTTAGTTTTAGTACAGAAGACCACTTGGCGTTAGCCATTGTGTATTTAAGAACATGCTCATTAGACGAGGCAATTGAAGAATTATTGAGCTTAACAAAGGTGAGATAAACTGTATGGAATTTCCTACACACATCTCCAAATAGTTCCTTCAACTAGGTCTACATGTTTTCAAACTTGAGAACAAGAAGACAAAGTTAACATTGCATAAAAACCTGAAATACTCATCTTTAAAATTTCACACATCGTCGGTGAATTGTCTTTGTCCTCTTCAGGAAAAGCTGGCTGAAATTTGCGTGAAACATCATTATACACTTTACAATAAAGATGAAACATTGAGTCCTCTGGGACAGGTAACCAATCTATTCTATCCTTACACAAACTAGAAAATATTTGAAAATTACGATGTTTTCCTGCACATCCATCGTCGGAAATATTGTTGCGTAAACACGAAGTGCTTTCCAGAAACCAAAGATGTCTTCCATCAAACTCAGAAATATTTCATGATTTCCAAGCTTTGTTGCGGAGACAATATTTCCAACTTTGCCCATCTCATGATTATAAGAAACAATGTTCCTACCACGGTGTAATAAACCCCAGTGAAATGAGGGTGAGAGTTGAGGCAGGTTTGTTCTAACTATGTTTTAACTTGAATGAAATACACAATAGTGTTGGAAAGAACAGCTAACCCCGTGGTTCGTAGCGGTCTTTGAAATCCTTGAAAGTCTTTGAATTTGAATGCAGGTCTTTGAAAAGTCTTTGAAGTGTGTGAAAAAGCGAAGAAAGTCTTTAAAAGTCTTTAAAATTAATTCTTTAGTGAATATTTGATTATGCGATTTCCTATAGCTAATAAAATAGATTGATTGAAGAGCAAGGTTTTCGAAAATATCGATGAAAAGGTACATTTTAAGATGTGATGTGGCGGGACTAATTACTGGGAAAAAATGGTACTTACGCTCGCAATTTTTCGACAGCTGATTGCCCTCAAAGGTTTTGAAAAGTCTTTGTAAATAGGCAGAAAAAATCTTTGAAAGTCTTTGAATATTTTTGGTCCGAACCCTGAACCACGTGATTGCCCACTCTCATTCTCGTTTGATCGGGTTTTGTCTACACACGTAAAAATGCACAAGTTGTAACAAGGCTGCCAACAGGCCGTCAATAAGATGTACTCGCACTGTTTGTCACAAGTTGTCAATAGGTTTGGAACAACTTGTTGACAACTTGTAACAACCTTGTCGAAATTATCAGACTTGTTGCAAGGTTGTTCTGACTAGTCCGTTACATGCTTGATATAACAAGATTGTTACAACCTTGTGTTGACAACCTTGTAACATTCTTGTTATATCATGGCTGTAACAAACTTGTTAGCACAATCTTGTACCAAGGCTGATAATGCCATCAAGTTGTTAACAGCTTGTTTCAAACTTGTTAAAACCAACTGGGAACAAGCAATGCGAACACAACTTGTTGACAGCTTGTGAACAGACTTGTAACAACTTGTTTGCAGACTTGTTACAACTTGTGTGTTTTTACGTGTGTAGTTCAAGTTTATAGTTTTAAAATTTGTGAATTTTTTCTATAGCTTCTCAGACGACGTCTTCCAAACGTGTTTATCAAAACTTTGGTTTTTCTTCATCTCAGAAATCTCATATCTTTTACAAACACAGTTGATCTACTTCTGGTATGGGCGAGAAAACATGAACATTCAATATAAATATACCTTTCAATATGTAATAGTCTGATTATACCCTCAGCCACGTATAAGAAGAGTGTTTTCATTTTGACGTTGCAAAACCGCATCGTGTATTTTTTATCAAACTAAGTCATTTGAAATATATCAAGCGTGTCGAAGTAGCTGTCATAACACTGAGTGTGATTTCAATTGCGTAAAATTTGGTCTAGGAAGAACAGTTTAGTTCTGATGCAAGAACATTTCAGGACAGTAAGGCAGAAGTAAAATATGTCATTTCATCTCTTGAACTCTAGGGAAAAGACGGTGAAATTCACAACAACAATCATCTGGTAGAATTTTTGGAGCTTTTACTCAATGGTATATTAAATATGAATCTTCTTTTCAATTCATTAATAATCAGAAACATTCTTTGAATGATACCAATTTTACGTCTCCTAACGTTTACCGTAGATCCTCCATTAGGCATCGTTGGATAGGGGTGTTTAATATAGAGGGGGTGGATATTTGTGGTATTGAATATTGATTTAGGTAGAAGGGGATGTTAGAGAAGGCTTATTACAGAGGAGGCTTATTAGAAAAGCGGGCTTCATGTTAGAGAGAGGAGGCCTATTGAAGAGAAGGAATTATTAGAGAGGTTACTAGCGTAATGACAAAAAAACTAGCTAGATTATTTCGTATCCCCACAGACTCAATATAACTAAATTATTTCGTTTCCCCACAGACTCAAGAGGAGCAAAGTCCTTCAAAGCAGCTAGAGTGAGTAGTAAACTGATTATGGAATTCATTTTACATTTTGGTTGACATTTTCAATAATTCTTGCCATGGCTTTATTATATTTTGATTTTTTAACCAGGAATTTCTTATCGATATTTACTTGAAGAAACTTTCCCACAAACCATCAAGCCAAGAACGAGAATTACTCAGACTACCTCACTATCATATAGTAAGTTCAATACATGTGCAAAATGTATATTTATGTTTGCAAATTGTACATTAGACTGACTCGTAATTATTACAATATTGATAGCCCAGAGGTTCGGGGCATTTTGCCAGACGTTTTTTGTGGTTGGACAAATTACCTCCGTTCAATGGTAAGTCTTTCAACGTATTGAGAAAATAAGCTTTTTCACCTTGGACGACTTTGATCTGAACGGTTTTCCTAGAGGTCCAGTAAGGACCATTCCATTTTCTACTTTGATACGAGATGAAGGTTCCAAAACTTTAGTAATTTATGTTCCAGGTTATATAGCAGAACCGAAAGACTGCCCGATTGTGCGGGCAACTATAGCGACAACGTCTTCCCCAAAGAGAGGGCGTAAGTATCGAGGATTCCCAAGAGACCATACTGCCCAGGTGATTGCTGTTGGGACTGGTACCAAATCGTCTTGCACGTGTTGTTGCTGCTGGGAAACGCTTCTTAAACTACAGGTAACTCATCAACCTCGTACTCAAACTCACAGAAGCCCTGGGTACGAGGTTGGGTAAGGGAGAGGGAAAAAAAGTTAATAGTCGCGTATCAATTACATATTATTTTCATAGAGTAGAATGATAGGACTGTGTACATTTAAGTATAGTTTAACATGATGCAGACGATGACGGAATTTGACACTTTTAATTCAGAAAACTTGAAACTCTCAAATATAGCGCCGTTTCTGGTGCAGGCAATGTTAACCTGTTAAGTTGCATTGCACCGTAATGCATGCACCCTACTTTGTTATTTTACTCTGTCTATAGCGCTAGACGACGGTGTGTGCCAGTGTGTGCTGTGTGTGCCAGTGTAGATAGTGGCAGTGATAGCAAAACTTGGTTTGATATAGAGATGCAACTACTTTATCAAATCTTTCTTGTAGTCATTATTGTGTTCAAGATATTGTGATCGAGATTTAGGAAGTTCTGTTGTCAACAACTTGGTTGGAAAATCTTGGGAAATATCAATAACATTGTTATGTTTGCCTCTTATTGCTGAATATCAAAAGGTATGCTGCGTGTTTTTGGTTGCTGACAAATGTATCTCTTTCACCTGTGGTTCATACCTGTAATATACAGATTTAATATTTTTGCACAAGTGAATATAACAAATCCCTGCAAGTTGATTGGTCAAATTTGACGTATTAATCTGTTATATTCACCGTGAATATAACAAAACCGAAATTTGCAAAATGGCGGCTAGCCTTTTTGTGGAAGTTACTGGTAAAGAAATAAGCGAAATTAAAATAAATTCAGTCTCAAAAAACGCAAAAGACTTGTGTAAAATACTAAAACATTTATTCGCCTCAGGCTCGGTGATTATCGGGGAATATTCGCCTCGACATTGTCTCGGTGAATATTCCCCGATAATCACCTCGCCTAAATCGGCGAATAATTGTCAAAGATAATGTATAAATTCTCCCCAGTCACATGTGAGAGGTGTGTCTCCAGATTGACTGTGTCAAACATGCGCCAAGTTTTCTCCGAGTATTGCTGTTTGCTAGAGTCTATTCAAATATATCGTATATATTTCTGTTTATTCAAAATGTTTAGGAACGAACTTTCCCTAAGCCTCATGTTAATATAGTATATTTTGTGTTCAATATATAGACCACAGTAATTAGACTTGTGTGTATTACATTAAACAAACGACGTTTTAATTGTAATCTTATAACTACCTGAAGATGGAGTAAATCTCCAAAACGTCGTTTGTTGATGTAATAAACACATTTAAAAAAAAACGTTACTGTGGTTTATATATTGAACACAAAATATTTCTGTTTATCATATCTATCAGGGGAGTTTGTATTTCTCTTCCTAGGCTGTCGAGACATTGTTATTGATAGATTCATCAACCGTGTTGTCGTACGCAAAGCATTATTTTGGAGACGATTACACGAAGGTATAGCTGGGTATTAATTTTAATAATTAGTGATTACCGATTATTCATGCGACAATCTACCCGATACCACAGAGTAGATGCATACAGAGCTGTAACTAGCCGATGATACACTATTCAGATAGTACAAACGCCCTTTCTGTCTAATTTCAAATATATTACCATCCTCTGTGGTGTACTTACTTACCTGTTTACCCAGATTCAGTGGTATCAACGTGCAATGCATATAATTTTTAAGGTGTGTATTTTCTCAACAATCGGCTTTAGGCAATCGGAAATATAGCTAATTCTACTGATTCTGATTGTCTACCGATAAGGCAAAAATCTACCCGATACCGATTATCGGTCAATCGCTATTAATAATAAAATTCCTGCCTGGATAACCCTTGGTGTTTTCATTATTCCATGCAATATTCTGGGCGATCTTAACTACCTAGTTAACTACTCACCTTCCCACAAAGGCCTTTCATTCGGAATGCCGAAGTTTTTTTAAATTAATCTCTTTCAGGAAGTTCATTATTCTTTTCTAGTGGCGGTGTATTCTTGACGTTCTCACACAAAAAATTCGTTCAGAAACTGAAGACGATGGCAACAACCACATTGAAATATTGAAAGGTACAATCTTTGACAATATATACCTTGACTTACATCCTCGTGTTTCTAGTATCTCCTCCCAACTATACCCCCCCCCCCATCCTCGTGTTTCTAGTATCTCCTCCCAACTATACCCCCCCAGTTTCAATGTTACATTCAGGACAAAGGGCAATCGTTTTTCAACAATGGATTTTTTACTATTTAGAAACCTTGATCATTTTATCGAAGTACACAAGTCCTACCGTGTTTTTATCCCTACTACCGGAAGATGGAAACTTCGCATTTTTTCTACCATATCTTGTTAAATGTTGCGAAAATGACAACGGTAAAAGATTATCAGACCAGATTCATGGAAGGTAGGGCATGTGTCAATGGTAGTTGACTGCTGTGCAGGTTAATTAATCGTGGCTATTGATGGATCCGCGCTTTCGTTATGGAAGGACCTGGTGCCGAGGGTTTTTTGCTGGGCCGGTGCAACTCAGATATCGTAATATAATCTTTTGATCGCAGCTAAATACGTATGCTCTGTATAGTGATAAATAAATTTTAGGTATAAATTTTAGGTATTTTAGGTATATAGATAATTGTTTTCTCAGCACAGCAACGACGGCTTCACGGATGCCTGCGTTGCCAATCTCTTACCCAGGGCTTCTGCGCTTGTGGCTCAGAAGCCCTGGGTTCTGGGGTTATCTAGGGTTATCTGGGTTGCCTACAATCTCGTACTCAGAGCAATGCCTGTGCGAGGGCTAGGATTGCATTGGCTCTGGGGAAATTGAATTTTTCCTGTGCTGTGATTGGTTTAACGTTTATCAATCGTGCATGCCGACAAAGAACCGGAACCCCTAAATTTAGGGGGGTTGCGGTTGTCAATTTCCCCAGAGCCAATGCCTTCCTAGCCCGCGCACAGGCATTGTTTTGGGTACGAGATTGGGTTGCCCATTGAAATGAATATAATTGGAACGCTACCTTGAGATAAACGACACTGTCTGGGGGTGAAGACCATAGAGATTATAAATAACACTAGAGGAGGCATTGTAATCTTAATTCAGTAAAAAAAAGGGAACGCGACTATTGGGGGGCAAATTCAAGTCCCGGATGTGTATTCGTGTTCCCATTGGTGACGAGTTTCAAATCAGCCAATGAGAGCACGATTTTATATCCGGGACTTGAATTTGCCCCCCATTAGCTGCGTTCCCAATTTTTAAACTCGATGCCTCCTCTAGTGTTATTTATAATCTCTATGGTGAAGACCCCGTGTTTATATCACGATTGACTGATTGAGCGCTCTTCACATGCGTGAAAAGACTGGGACTGCGTTTTAAATTTCCATTCAGAGGTCATCCTCGTTCCCAGCGCTTCTCGGCTGCCTGCGTTCTGGGAACGAGGATGTTTAGAGGTAGCGTTCCAGATATATTTATTTCAATGGGGGTTTCCTCGAGGCAGCCGTGAAGTCTTGCGAGCGAGACGTGCATAAATATACGTCATATAACTCAATTGGTACAGATCTATGACGTCAAAAAAAATTATTTGATTGTCTGCCGGGCATAAAATATACGTTTGAACAAAAATGACCTTAGTTGAAATCATTTACGAAACTGTTCGCATTTATTGCCAAAAATGTCCATGGTCGATGTAAAGTGATAATGATATACAATATTCTGAAAATACGGAAATGAATTTCACGCTGGCACATAGCTCATTGCCATGGCTACACTGGCGGAATTGCGTCAGCACGTTTATAAAAGAAATACCTGAGCCCTATTAGACAATGAATTCCGTCGTAGCGGTGTGACAGTTTACCAAGGACTTAACATCGTAAGTTGACTTTTGTTATATTTTCATTTCTTTACTTGATTGTGTAATGTTTTAAGATTTACTGGCTTACAATAGTATTCTCAGTAAATATTACATCGTTTTTTATTGATATAAAAGAAATAGCCAAGCAATCATTTCACTGACCAAAATACGTTTTCTCTCAAGGTCCAATTACTACAAAGCCCGCGATTCTAATACTATCGAAATTAAAATAAACAGTGATTGGGCTAGGAGCTAGGACGTCATATTGAAAGTGTCGCTTCACTTTTTCACTTGACGGTTCAATATAGACTTTCTCTTGTTGGCGATGGTTTATTTACTATGATGGCGATGAGTAATACGAGTCGTGTTTTTGGACAATAAGATCAGCTGGAGTTTCAACGCGGGATATTGTTTTGAACTTCTTCAATATTAATTCTACACACTTGAAGATGGCTGAGCGTGATTTAGAAGTGGATGTTTACGAGTTTCTTCAGAAGATACAGTTGGGACAGTTTTTTGAGAAGATTGATAAAGTACTCCACCTGACACGATTGGTTCATTTTGACCATGTTGCCGAGAGTGACCTGAGCGATATCAACATGTCTAAACCTGAGCAGAGGAGATTGTTTGATGCCATCAAGAAACACAAGAAAGAACGAAAGAAGGCTAGCAAGACACGCTTCAGTTTGAGGGTATGTTTAATATTGTTGTTAGTTTGATCTAATATGTTGGCACATCATCTCATTTGATTGACGAATCTTATATGAGAAAATTTTGTGAAAACATTAACACCAATAACAGGAAACTGAATTGTTAAATTTGACAACGGCGAAAGGTTAAGAACATACGCTGTCCTCGTTTACGTCTGGTAAGCACCTGACGAACGATCTTTGCTAGTGGTTTCACACGTAAACCAAGGCCGACCTTATTCTCCGCGCTTGCCGGAAAGATCGTTTGGCCATCATTCATAAATTGTTGACTTGTGCTTATCTTTCTAAGATAAGCACATGTTCTCATTCCCAGATCGCGTTATAAGACCACACAACCAATGCATGTTTGCTAATGCGGATTTTTGAAGTAAGGCTCGGCAACATCGGAACAGTAATTCTAGAAAGCGCATGCAGACAATTTCCCTCTCTAAAGGCTGACATGAGATTGATTGAATCATATTAATGTTTAGAAGATACCACGTTATAAGAGCAATAAAAATCACCCTCAAATATACCACTCAACTATGGTATTGCGTAAATTTGAAGTTGCAAGATTAAATAAATTTATGCGAAGACGATAATTGAAGTCTAATATATAGATGGATATTTAAATATATTATACGAGAACACGGTAGAACGTGCAAGCACATTGAAGCACATGTGATTTCAGTGTCGGGAATATCACGTTAAAAATAAGCCGCGCTGTGTAATTCGAAAAACTTTGACCAACAGCATACAGAGGCTTGAATTGACGAAATTATTCAACATTTGCTGATCTGTTTGATATCTGAATACTAGTAAGCAATATTGTGTCTGTCAATATTATCTTAGAGTTATAATATGAGGCTTGTTCTCCGAATTCTTCTACACTACACAGTTTTAAAACTAGGACTCAACCGTCCCCAGATAACGCGTAAACATGTTCATTAATCCATGACTTCTGAGTAATTGTTAAACTTGGAAAGAGTCGTGTTGGAACCATGATGGAAACAACTTCCGAGACAGAGAAACGCGATAACAGTAACAGAAAGTAAACTCTTACATGAGAAAAAGTCGTGTCAACTTGCAGAACTTTTATTAAACACAATATGAAAAAGCTGCAAAGAAAGCTTGAAATGAATAGATATTGAAACAAAGTCATTCTCGAAAGTTCACTGTCTGCTTACACGATTAAAGGCTGGTTTATACGATGAATAAGTTTCTGTGATCACAGTAGTGAGTAGGAATTTTGCAAAGGTAAATTCTAAGTTTTGAAGGATTTGTAAGAAATGAGGGAGCTGACTCATTGTTAAACAGTCAGTCAGTTTCCTCCGAAATTCCTTACAAATCCTTCAAAACTTAGAATTTACCTTTGCAATATTCGTACTGTGATCACGGCAACTTTTAGAGTGTACAACAGGCTTAATAAGACGCAAATGTTCAGATGATATCGGACAGAGTCAGAACGCAAATTTTATTCCGGATCCACTTGTTCACAAGGGGTTTGTGCGGTTATCTGTCGTCGAATTTGTCTCATTTCACACGGCAAGATCGCGCAAACTTATGAAAGTTTTCCCCCGTGTGAACAAGGCGTAATATCAAGTGGGATTAACAGAGCTTATCGCCTTATAGCTTATAGAGTTTTCATTGATGGATCTTGACTTGATTTTGTTTCTAGTACATGGTTTTTTTACATTTCCTAAGCGTTGATATATGCATGTCAAATACCTCCCATGCAGAACAACCTTTGCTGTTACTATGTTCAAATGGTTGCTGAGACACTCGTGCGCCTTTATGTAGGATAGTTGAATGTGTCTAAACTATGTATTGTTCATTCGTGATGATAAATTGCTTAAAAACGTTCTTTGTTTATTCTTGATGAATAAATGACACGTGTAGTCTGGAAAATTGGCCGAGGTCAGGTGTTTTTATCAGAGAAATTTTATCAGTTTTATCGATTGTTTTTCTATGGTAGCGCGGGAAACAAAAATTCTCGGTTGGCGTTTTGGCTATTTTTACATATGTATAGAGAATGTAAAAATAAAGCCGGTAATTAAAAGGAATGAAGTAGGAGGAATGATGAAGCATGACAATAAAGATCTTTTGCTGATAAAACGTGCATGGGTCAAATGCCATAGCTATATTGAGTTACGCCATGTATGACGGGATGTTCTCATCTACCAGTCGGATGTCGAAGTAATATTTTCCTATCTACGTTGTGAAATATTTTCATTTTGCGTCCTGCTTAGAGTGTTAATCACCCTGGCTCCAACTATATTCTATACTTGCGCGATTATAATACCTCGTATTCAATAACTATGCTTGCATTCATACCCCCTGTTTCTGTAAACAATACAAGTTAATATTTGGCCTATGATACGCTGACTGCATATGGCGGCCCTCATAGATTATGCGCGGTAGGAAACTTCTAGACTGTACATTAGCACATTGACAAGACATCAAGAACAGCCCGTTTTTAGGGCGTTGAAATCCACTGCCGAACCCGTTCGCAGGTATTTCGTGTTTAATTCGTAGCATTTCTATAAATTTGAACAAGCAACTGTAGCTCAATAATGCCATGTTATATAGATTGACGTCACTTATAAAAAATATAATATACGCGCCCTAGTTAGATTATATAATGCATGACGTTTACGCCTGGTAAGAAATGAACTGAGAATGATAATTTATTCAACTTATTCACCAGTAATTTTCCTGTTTCAATCATTTACCACGTTACAAATTACAACAGAATTGTTGCAATTAGTACTAAACAGACTAACCAGAATTTTATTTTAAAAACTATCTGTATCGTTTGTTTGGTCGCTTACTGATCGGTTTCTTTGTAAACCTAAGTCACAGAAACTTCTTTGTTATCGTTGTTTACGAGTGTTCAGCTATATTTAATGCATGATTTCACCTACGAGAATGAAAATTGAACATTTCAAACATTTTCCGAATATATTTGCTTTACGTGCGTTGGTAATTTACTTGAGAGTTTCATTGTTTCATTTGATGTTTAGGAACGTTGCCAAAAGATAATTGTCTGTTGCACGTTTATGTTTGTGGCCCATCCTCATTCCTAACATTGCTTTAGTAGCATCAGACAATCGCGATGATGACAATGTAATAGAATCATTCGCTCGTAATGTAATTTTTTCGTAGTAACTCCAGACGCCTTCGCTCGAAACGTCGAAGTTCTCTTTATATTTTTCAGGTAGTTCCATCACCCTACCAACGCAAGTTTGTTTATAATATCACGATGAATGAATGGTTAAATAAATTAATGCAATTCTGAAATAAGTTGACCTGACGTTTCAATATTCCATGTCCATAGTGTTTGGCTCATGACTCCAGTCTAGCCAGATATTATACCTCATGGTTGCAGTTTCAAATCATGCTCATTATATAAGCATTGTAGATATTAGGACTATCGAATGCTTTGTACATGTACTGAACTTTCAGTATTCATAATTTTGTTCTTCCCGCATTTGAGAAAAATTATACTCCAATTTGATTGTACAAAACGAGTTTTTGAAATTTGTAGTCATGACTCGGATCTCAGTCCATTTTGCACTTCAAAAAGTAACTTAAAAACTATTGTTTTCAAAATAAATGTTGTTATATATAAAAAGACTTATTAAACCCATATCGTATATAATCATTCTCTCACCACGACAGTCTTGGCTAAGATGCAAAAATTTCATCGTATCCAGGTAAAAATACTACATCCGTCCGATCATTTACACCATAACAAACGCAGCCGTTACTTATTCTAATTAGAACAGCAGCGTTGATTACATCGCCATCAAACAATATATGATAGAATATTAACACTTTTTCTTTTTCCAATGACAATGTATCATTTGTTAAAGAATAGTATAAACTATTATGCTTCAAACTATCATATATACAAACCTACAGTGGGTTACTAGGAAATAGTCTATATGTTGGGCACATAGATATCTTATATACACTAGATAGCGAATCTCTTTAGTAAAATTGAAGCCGAGAATATTCCAGCGGTTATCCCCATTTGAATAGATGGCGGTCATGTTGGAGTTTCCCACTCGCTAATGAACGCTTAAAAAACAACAATAACTTTCATCATTTGAATAGTTTGAAAATGTATTTGGAATAGGTTTAACTTAATGTTTAAGTTAAATAGAAAACATACGAGTCTTCTCATTTCATAGGAATATCCTGAGTCTGTAATCACGGCTTCAATTTTTGAATTGCAGAATAATTAGATGGACTATCTAGTGTATATAAGATATCTATGGTTGGGCATCTCGTTCACAGATAGAACAGAATTGAAGGTTTTTTGCAGATGGAATATTCGGGCAGAAACTATATCCCTTTGCAAAAGCGATGCCGCGACAAAGGAAAAAGTCGCGAACAAAATTGCCTAATGTTAATTTATTTAATTTAAGAATGTTTGTTTAATTTCGAGTGATTCTCTCAGTTATTTTTTTCTCTTTTATATAATTATCGTACTCGGATGGGCGTGGTACTTTCGGTTTCTGATCTCAGGATTTCAATAATGTTGTGTTTGTCATTGGCTTTTGTTTCTTATAGTCAGCACGGAATTTCCATCTACAAATCAAATGCCTTCAACAAGTACGAGTTAAAACATGAGCAGACGATCTTTATCTGATCAATACAAACTCGAGCCCAAGGTGAGTGTATATCAGATAAAGATCTGCTGCTCATGTTTTAACGTGTTTAAAAACAGGGGCGAAACTAGCCCCTTTTAATTAGGGGGGTGTCTGGCAGAATTGCCCTGCCAAAAAATTTCGGTCTGTGTACCATTTTAGGGGTCAAAAAAATTTTCCGGACAACCTATATTTTTCGGAACATAACACAAATTTTCGAAAAATTACATAATTTGCGAAAAAATTGACTTAAATTTAGATAAAATTGACTGAATTTGTCCCATTTTTTTTTCAAACCAAGATTGCCCGACTGTTGATCGAATATTGCCCCCGCCCGGTACGCCTATGTGCTATCATTTATTTATAAGAGACCTTTGATTGCCCTGCCAATCGGGATGATTCGTATTTTGGGGGGGTGCAACACCCCCCCATACCCCCCCTCAAGTTTCGCCCCTGCTTAAAAAACGACCCATGCCATCGTATGAGTTCATTGGCGAAGTAATTTTAAAATTAAACATTGTCTAACCCGAGAAAATCAAAGCTGAAGTTTATGTAAATCAGGACAAATCTTTATCCGATTTACAAACATTGATTAAACATTCATTTCTTTTGTATTTTCCTCATGAATTATTAATGAGTTAAGTGGTGTTATCAAGTGAGATGCCGAAAATTCTGATAATTTATGTATGAATTCTGATAATTTATGTATGAATTCTGATAATTTTTGACGTCTCGTTGTATTTCGGTCTATGTTATGTTGCGATAGGAACTTTACCGAACGAAATATAAGAAGATTTCCCCTGAGTCCGCGTGCAAGTTATCATGGTCATTTGAAATGTTATTACGTCACAGTAATTGTTAGCTAAGTATGTTGCCAAGTGCTACTTCAACATATTGGCCCCTGTTTAGAAATCATCTTAATATCCTCGTGATTGCTTGATCTTGACCCCCAATCACAACCCTGCCCTATTGTGCACAAAACAGCATGAGGATTATTAATTAGTGCTAGTTTTATTCTTTGCAATCTACCGTTTTGTTGTTATGCCAAATAGTTGATTCTAGTCAGTAATGAAGGCATTAACAAATTATTTATTTAAGCTGAAACTACTAGATTGTTATTTGATTTCCTTGTACGCTCACGGCCAAACTGCTTGCCAGAACTATCGTGCTATGCCTATGCATGTTCAATGAATGAGTTTAAAAATGGACGTGTTGACAGCCTAACAATGCTTGCAAACACAATGAGTCTGGTGGCGAGGCAAAAATAGATCAACTGTTAAGACACAAGTTTATTTCCTTTGTTTCAAAATTCTGTTTATTTCCTTTCAAACGTCATGGTGGATATTAATAAACTAATTATGGAGTGTCGATTAATTTCGGAAATTTTTAAATACACTTTTAATGTAGTGCAAAGTTGAAGATTTGTTGAAAGTTGTTGCTTCAAATGTCGTATTTATGAAACATGTCACTACAAGCTTGTGAACCTACAGACAAATATTTTGCAGCATCTTGTTATAAGTTTTATACTGTCATAAACTAACATAACTGGGTATGGCACTAACATGCACATCCCTACAATTTCTACGTAAGTCATTCCAAACATGAAATGTTAATGGCGATATTTATCGTTTTTTAGAAATCAAAAAAGAAGGACAGTTCACATTCGTCGAGTGAAGGTGCTGTGAAGCATGGCCAAGGAAAATCATGTTTGATCAGTGAGAGCTCCCTTAAGTTGCTGGGAGAGCTGGGGGATGGAGCGTTCGGCGTCGTCACTAGAGGGGAATGGACACCAAATAAAGGATCTAAGGTGATTTCCTCGGGAGGGTTGATTGTGGTTTAATTTTGTTTGATAAGGAACGCTCTGTACATGTGAGAAAAACACTTCGAGTTTGAGTCGGTACCAAGTACCGCAGAGGATCGCTAGAGAGAACAATTTACTAGGGATGGGCCGATATCGATACCAAATACTCGATACTATCGATACCAGGGTTTTGAAGAAAAGTATCGATACTGACAAGAAATATCGATGTTTCGATATTTCTGCGCCCGCGATATTTTTCATTTTGGTCAGCGGCATCATCATGAAAATGATACCAAAAAGCCTAAATAGGCGTAAATAGTTCATTTTGTATGGTGCTATAATGGTCCACGGGAAGGATGGGAGTTTCTGGTTATGTTGGTTGCAATCACTGACATATATTATTCGATGTTTATATTGTTAGCGTTGTGGCCGTTGTTAAATTAATGATTTCAAGTTGGGAAAATATCGATATCGGTATCGATATCGAAAAAACCCGGCAAATATCGAGCAAATATCGTATCGAATGAAAAAGCTGGTATCGCCCATCCCTACTGAATTTACAACTGATAGATCGATCCAGCATAAAAAATAAAGTTAGTTTACATAAGATTTAGCTGCATTTACCCTTTTGTTTGGGTATCGATCTACAGCCTGGTTTTTCTATGCTCGACTTCCTTAGTTAGGTAATTAATCCTTAATTACTTAATTAATCGTTAATTAGTTGATCGATTAGTTAATTAATCGTTAATTAGTTGATCAATTATGTAATTAATTATTAATTAGTTAATCAATTACGTAATTAATCCTTAATTAGTTGATCAGTTAGGTAATTAATCTTTAATTAGTTAATCACTGATTGGGTAAATAATTTTTAATTAGCTAATTTAGTCAATGAATCTTTCCAGGTTTCTGTTGCTGTGAAATGTCTCAAGTTTTCAAACAAGGAGGCCTTCGTAAAAGAGCAAGATAATTTTATGCGTGAAGCAAGTGCTATGAGTGAGCTTGACCATCCTAATGTCATCCATTTGTATGGCATTGTGCTCGCTACTCCAATCAAGTTAGTGATGGAGTTAGCTTCGCTGGGATCACTTCAGGATAGGCTGAGAACTGAACCTCAGAAATTTTTGATATCAATGTTATATGATTTTGTTTTACAAATTGCTTGCGGAATGAATTATTTGGAGTCGAAGAGATATGTTCACCGTGATTTAGCAGCGAGGAATATACTATTGGCCTCTTATGATAAGGTTAGTACTTTCATAAAATGCATGCTTACGACTTCAACGAAAAAATTTTAAATCATTTGTTTTATTCAGGTTAAAATTGGCGACTTTGGATTGATGCGATTGTTACCATCAGAAGATGATATTTATGTCATGAATCCCGCTGGAAAAGTAGCTGTAGCATGGTAGGTTGATGCTTCAAACCAACATGATCTCACATCATCCTACAGTTTTGAATACAAGGTCCGTGTGAACAGTATGTTTGCAAACTGATGTTGGTGAAGAAGAAGGAATTTACTTAGCACTAAACTTAAAAGCATTGAAAACAATACTATAGTTCACACTTTATACATCCAACATTCATGTTAGATTATTCATTCTAGGTGTGCTCCTGAATGTCTTAAGAATCGCGAGTTCTCGCACGCCAGCGATGTCTGGGCATTTGGTATTACAGTGATTGAAATATTTTCGTATGGAAAGCAGCCATGGGATGGACTTAGTGGTGCTCAGGTATGTTTCGCTGAATAGTTGTTCTATGTAAAACATAAGCGATAAGAAAGTAGTTCAAACTGAATAAAGTACAAACTTTTCATTTCTTATATTTATGTCGTTTAGATCTTGGAGATAATAGACGAACCAGCCAATGGCAGACCAGGCAAGCCTGTTCATTGTCCGGATAAATTATATTCTCTTCTTTTTGAACATTGCTGGGATCCCAATCCAAAAGACAGATCAAAATTTTCATCCATTAAAGACAGATTACAAGAGGTAAGATTACCAGTTCACTGTAGTCAGCAAAACTGTCAGGCGACAGAAAGCTTTATCAAGACTTGGACGATCATTGGATTGATTAATATCCATTGTATCATCGATGATCATTTGTTTGATTGAGACAAACATATAATGATGTTTTGCTATTGTGTTACCAGGCTGTTCCTGAAGATGTCACGTCGTTTTTTGATTTGGAGAAAGATACAAATCCTGACAATCTCGTCGCTAAATCTGGTGATTTAATTACTGTTATCACGTGGAAGTAAGTACTGTAGTAAGGTCGTATTTTCCGAGGTTTTTTATACTTATTTCAAGCGAATTGGTTCGCGAAGGACTGCAATATTTCATTATCATAAAATACACGAGAAACCGAAAACTCATTTTCTCATCTTTTCAAGGTCAAGACTTGGAACAGGGTTTGGTAAAGGTCAAAACAAGAGAACAGCCGAGGTTGGCTATTTTCCCACTTCCCAAGGTATACTTCTTAAACTTTTATAAACGAAGTCTTTTTTTCAATGAAGCGAAATGAGCGCGAAGTGTTATGTGTCTATCTTTTAATTGTCATGTAGATCAGACAATTTGGGGGAAAAAACATGTTTTTAAAAAAACTAACAAAATTGCACGATTTTTTTTTATACATAAAGTATATCCTTATTGTCTAATGTCTATTGTATTCATTTTCAGTCACTCGCAATATTTTAAAGAGCAAAGGTTCTGTATCGAGACCCAGGTATGTACTTTATTGTGTAACATATAGTATAGTTTCCAAACAATTGTGATCTAAGCAATTTCTACAAATCCATGAAGTGTTTAAGTTTTAGTTCTGCTTTTCAATATAGGATTGCAAAAGTTAAAGACATTAGTCCACCGTTAGATAACTCATTCTCTCATTGTGCACATCGTGGGAATGGAGAGACACCGAATTGGGGAACAATTATGTCTGAGGAAAGGTAGGCGGGTATCTATATATTATTCAAAAACTCATTAATAGTTCATGAGGACTTACAACGACGTATTTTTTGAAAATTACTTCGCCAATGAACTTACTAGATCGTTTTTGAAGCAATTTAAAACATTCGCAGTGTGTGTTTTATCAGACCTAAATATACTCATAAAAAACTGCTGCTCATGCTTTGAATAGTACGTTAATATTTCCCTCTCCTTAATTACCATTCATTAATAATATTGTTCGTTGTTTTCTTACTCTTCCTAGACAAGTTCTTGGAAAGCATCGTCCTCTAAATTTACCAACCAAATTAATTTCTCTGAATAATTCAGATGGCGAAAGTCAAAGTAAGTAGTTGCTAGCAGGAATTTTGTTTAGGTTGATAGAGTAGTTAGTGCCTTCCGCAGTTTGCAAGAGAGTGTAGTTTGATGGTTTTAGATTCATGTCTCCCTGTTTACGAATGCTCACCCTGGCCATAACCGCTGACTCTAACTCATAAACAGCGACGCATGAATCTATATCCAATTTGACTCCATGAAACACCGCTGGCTTACTCCTGATTCCTTCTCCCGTAGTACCTCCAGGAAGAACAGAAATTATTGAGCTTTCCAGTATGAATAAAGCAAGCTTAGTTTACACCTATAAATACCAACGGGTTTACAATCTGACATGACTAAAAAGATTTTTCTCTTTAAGTTGAAGGCGACAGTGGTGAGATGTTTTCATTAGTGAGTCGTGATAGTTGCAATTATAGCAGTTCCTTATCGCTTGGTCAAAGAAGTTGCGCAGATTCTGGTTACTATAGCAACCGTGACACGTACATGTCTCAAGATTATGAACAAATGACCGGAAGTAATCCGATCGCAATACCAGGGACGAACCCTCAGGGCCGAGCAATGATTGGAACGTTCGTGCCTAATCATTATACACGTCGTCCATCGGGTGCGAGCCTCCAGTTCGATCCTTATCATGGTCAGCGGAGTCGTGTAGATTCGTTCGGGTCCGACTTTTCCAGTGGATCTGAACTGCGTCCAGCACTTCCTGCCAAGCTGAAGATGGTTGGTAACCATGGCAACATAAAACCAACAGTGTCAATAAGTTTTCATGGCAACAGGCCTGAGAATCCCTACGAGAATATCAGCGAAATTCCTGGAGCCAATTATGAGGACATGCAAAGACTTTCCCATGTAACCCATCAAGTTTCCGAAGGACCCCTGATGTCTTCTTCTCCCGAATCTGTGTATATGAATCCCCAGCGTGTGAATAACCCAGATAGTTTAAACTTTATTAATATGAATTACCCAATCATATACGACCGTCCACCGATAGACAATCGATACAATTGTCATGACCGTTGTCATAGCTTTCCTGAGTTGGATATGAAAAGAAAATCTATGAATGGGGAAGCGAAGAGAAACAGTTTTTCATCAGAAAAGAAGATAGCGTTACATTCATTGAACGAGAGTAAATCTGCTCCCATTTTGGACAGAGAAGTTGAGACCACACCAAATTCTAAGAATTGGGAAACTGGAACTGCTGATGAGGCCATGAGTGAAGAAATTTACGAGAATATCGAGATTTATAATGTTCCACAAGCACTACTTTCTGACACTCCGCCGCCTTTGCCGGTCAAACGAAAAAATTCCAAGATCTCTGTTCATAGAAACAGTGGGTCGCATGATTTAGATATTTCCAAGAAACTGGCGTTGTCACAGGAAATGTTTGAGGAATACTACTCGCGTCCTGTGTCGCAAGATGTGCCGCCAAATTTTGACTCTCATTTGTATGCTGAGATTTCGGATAAACTTATCAAAGAATTAAATTTGGAAGATCAAAGTGGCTTGACGGATACGAGTTCCTTCATGGAGATCAGTAAAGATTACGCTGATTTGGACGCAATTTGCGCCAAGCTGCGGGAGGAAACTGCCGCAGACACGGAACTCGCGGAAAATGCTAATGAAGCGCAAGATGTCCTATGTCCTGTTGAATCAAATACTTCGAAAAATAACGATGTTCTATGGAGAAGGTTCTCCAACGACCAACACAGAATTCAACAACATACTCGAAGAATCAGGCGATCAGTTAGTAGTGACGATAATTCACCCAACGGTCGCTCGGAAGGACGTCGGTCATCCGACACAAGCACTCGGTCGTTGTCGTCGAACTCTCTGAAACATCCTTGTAGTGAACTAGAGGGCGTGCAATCGTTGCATACGCGCGCCACTCTGGTTACCACAGTTTAGAATCAATCTGTCTATAGTTGTAAATATATTCGTGCACTCTTAAACATAGACTATATATATATACTGTATATTTGTTCCGTACTCAAAAAATTTCATCAAATTCTGGAGCTTTGAAAAAGCAATTATCACTGTAAACAGTAAACCAGTAACAATTATATTTTTGATATATAAATAGCAGTTCATAACCGAGTTTGTGTGATCTCATGATCCTTTATTCGAACCACCTTAGCCTGTAGCCCAGGGCGCTCTAATGTAGCTATTTCTGCGCGCTCATTATTTGATGCAGGATACTCTATACGGCATGTAGACTGTTTCTACAGTAACAATCAATTAGTATACATTCTGGGGCCGGTTGTATAAAAACGTAATTAGCGCTAACTGTAGTTAGCGTTAATCACTGTAGTTAAATCCTTAACTGTAATTAGTTAACTACATGACTTAACTGCGTTGCACAAAACGTAGTTAGTCGGATAGTTAACTAATCACGTAGTTAACTGTGCGTGTGGATTGCGTGGGGCGTTTAAACAGAAAATTACATCAAGTAAGCAGCGAGTAACGACCGCTGACAACATTTTCAACACGATTGTGGACTCGTATTTTGCAAATAGGCGGGAATTTTATTCAAAACACTAGAAAACAGTGAAACATAAGCAAAAAAATAAAGAAAAACCGCCACAAAAATCATAAAAGAATGCAGTTTTTCCTCGAGATGTCTACGTTAAACCAAGGTATAGCTGTTTGGCAATTATATGTCAGTGTTTCTTGGTGTAATGGACCATACTTCGTCTTCGAGAAATCCTCCTGTGCAAAAATATGTTCTGTTTTCGTAAAAATACCAAAGCATAGCATTTGAAGAGTTTATATTGTCAGGAAACATTCACAGGGAAGATAGCGATTGAAATTCTCAGGTAAGCGTTGCTTTTCATTATTGTTTTACTGAAAAATGTTGTTCACTCCTATACAAACGCCATTTTTAACTACGTTTTGGACAGTTAACTATACCCTAAAGCATAGTTAACTTTAACTACTTTTTAACTGCAGTTAGCGCTAACTACACTTTTATACAACCGGCTTAACTACGTGATTAAAGTTAACTATTTTTTTAAGGCTTGTTAACTACTTTTTAACTGCAGTTAGCGCTAACTACGTTTTTA